ACAGTATAAAGATATTATGATATAGTGTATTTATAGTGGAAATCCAATTCAGAGACCATTTATAGATAAAATAACCAGAAGGGTATTTCTGTTTTTGGCTAATCAAATTAAGTAATATGTGACAAGTCAAGGTATTTCATCACACTGATGGAACAATACTGTAAATTCAATATTGCCAAAAATTGCTCACTGATTTGCTCACAGTGGCCTAACATAACCATAGATATTAAAGAAATAGTTACCACGGTATAAACAGCACAGCAAACTCTCCAATGGTTGACAGAGTTCATCATTTCATCATTTCATCTGTTATATTGCACAACGCTACCTTCACCATGTGCAGGAAGAGAAACTGCAGCAGGAAGAAGATTACTGAGCAACTGCTTTGATCGATTCATTGTTCAGTTCATTTTCCACAAAGAATCCCCAACATTTGATGGTTCCATGTTCTCAAACTTGAGAATAAATTGCTTTTTCTGGTCTTACGTCAAAGTAAATCAAAAATGTAGGGGTTCTGGACTGTTGGTTGGACAAAACAACCCAACCAAATAGACCCACATTAATTGAAATAAAAATCCTAATTGCAGTCCTAATTAGGGCCCGACTAATATGGAATGAATACCACAATTTCTTGTTGCTTACTGTATTAGCAGCCCAGCTAAAGTAGTATCAAGGTTTAGTGCAGTCTGGTGTAGTGGAGGTGGACCTCTCCTCTCTCTTTCTTAATAGCAAACAGCAGTATGCAGAACATTCGAGTAGCAGCCTTTCACTTCTAACTGGCACTGACCTTTTAACTGTCATATCAGCGCTCACTAATTAATGTAAACACTGTGAGAAACTTGCTGACAAGCCGAAATGAAACTTGGTTGTTTTGTGTACCCTCTTCTGCTTGTGTCTGTACTAAAAGGTCATTTGTCAGGGAAGAAACGCTACCGTTCAACTGCAAGTGGACTGAGTGTTGTGGTTCCCGCAACTCCAACAGGGCGATGCGTCAGTTTCCACAGAACCATCAGCTGATTGCATCATGTCAGTTAAACTGTAATGCTAGCAGTGTGCCCTTTAGGATGGTCAGGAGATTTGAACACAACAGAAAATGAACCACTGCCACGAATGTTTGCATGCAAACTATTAATTCAAAACCAATACAGTGTTTTTGAGAATCAACACAGTATCACAAAACATTATTATCAGTAATATTGAAGCATTTCTTTCAGGACACATTTCTGAGAGATGTTATATTTTTATCTTATTTACAGGTTGTAGCTTGAGTGGCA